CATGCCCTAAACCAAATACAAACAACAACAACAACAAAGACACCAATCAGAATATAGATGTTACATCAACAACTGACAACGTTGAAGATTCTTGAGGGCCATTATTTTTGGCGTAATCTATTTCGTCATCATATAAAATATCTTGAAGTGAATCATTCTGATTAACCGTCAATGATTCAATTTTTTTTATGGAATTAGCATCATCATTTGAATCTATCACAGAAGAATCGCGTAAAGTATCAGCTGACTCAATTTCTTGTATATTATTGACAGATAAGCATTGCTTTGGATATTGTTCAAACGTTTCACATAAGTTATCGGTTAAAGATATTGTAATCTTTTCATCCATCGAGGATGGCTCAATCTCATTTATAGTTTGTACATTATTATTTGATATGCATCGATCGGTTAAATGTGATTTAGAATTTCCGGCAGTTATAATAGAAGAAAGCAAACTAGATGAAATTTTTTTACGTTTTATAGGATTCGTTTCCCAGTTAGATATGATCAAGTGAAGTTCAAAAAAAATGGAAATGTTAAATGAAAAATCATAGAGGCGGGCTGCTTTATCACAAAAGAATGCCGAAAAATCGTGACAGTAGTCGTTTCCATTGTTCGTAAAAAAAAAATAAATAAATAAACGTCCTCTAAAGAAATAGTTAGATGGCGCAGTAAATCAAATAGTTTTTTTTTGATCAAATATAACGGAATCCAAGTATAGGATGAAATGTCAAACTTATATGATTAGGGAAGTTTAATCAAGATATGTTACAATAAAAAAAGAAAGTAGAAAAGTTGGAATTAGAGTAAATAATGTCGGCGGCGGTGAGAACTGCTAAGTAATAGATACATGATCCTTGATTAATTATAAATTCAAGGAAAGGGGGTAAATATGCGAATTTCTGCGAAAAATATTCGGTGGTGTATCATTAGTGACACATAAAAATGCGCTAAAGGTACTTTTGAAGATGTCAAATCAGATTTCTTTATTACATATTTTTATTCAGCATTGCATGTTAAGTCACGTGGTAGGATATAAACGACCAATAAAAGTAGAATATGGCCTTTATTGTAGCCTGTTTAAGACAAACAAACAAACCTGCTCTAACGCTTAGCCGATATCTTTTTTTTTTTTGTGTAATAAGCTTATTTATTATTATTTATGCGGATGTGGATACGATTATGAGTAAAATATTTTATTGATCGAATTTTTTAAAAACAGTGAGTAAACCTTTTATTTTATTGGTAATTTTTGTAACAAATTGACGACGAACATAAAAAAAAGTACACTGCATAATGCACGTAAATCAACGCAGGTTAGTTAAGAACCAATTGTTTTCAAATTGCGTGATCTCAAGATTTGCAGATTACTTAACTCCCTTACATTTCTTAGCTACACCAATCTTTGCATATTATTATTATTGTATGCTAGTTAAGTTTTATTTCCGCGAAATTTGCCGTGTGGAAATTAATATTTTCAAATAAACATTTCCCATTTTCACTTAATATTATTACACTGCATATTGTTGTATTAATCTAATTTTGTTAATACTATAGATGATTTGGGTACCCGAGGACCCTCAAAATATTTATAGTTAGTAAGGTTACTACTATTACTATGAAAAATTCGATTATGACTTGTTTGGCTTGTCGGTATCGGCCGAATTATAGTAAAAAGCCTCCAAACATTCAAATACTCTGTAAGCAGTGTTTGAAATTAGTGTTCTCAG